CCAGTGGTCAGACCAGGAGGATGAAGATGAAGATGTGAAGGATGTAATATCGTGGGCTCTTCAGATCAGACGGGTTCTTTTCTTGTGGTCTTCTCTCTAACTGACATGTCCACGTTTCTGCTGTGTGCTTTGGAGGTTACTTAAAGTGTCAGCTCTGATATAGTTCCAACTCGCTCCCAGTAGTGAAACTGTGCCTGTGGGAGTGCAGGCTCTAACCCGAGGCCTTCACTGGAGATTTACGGCCCTGTTTGGGACGGGTGTGTGAGCAGCGTCTGTACGTCACAAACTGAGCTGGAAAAGTGACGTAGAAAACCTGACTGGACTAGCAAGGACGACTTCATGCATAAAACTGTATTCTCTGGTTTGATTTAGTGAGAACAGTTTATTAATCTTCCATTTTAGACAAACTAAAGTTTTTTTATCCTTTGTGAAGCCACTATTTTCACTGTGCTTCCAAGTCAGCAGAGATGACTGTTAGAATGTCGTGTTAGATTTAGATAAGAGCTTTGTGGAGACTTTACACAAAAACACAAAGGAGGAAATAAGAGCAGTCAGATTCTAAAATAGCTTCTCAGTTTGAATCATTTTCAGTGATGATCTTAGTGGGAGTCCCACCCCCTGCTCGCCCAATGTGTCATCTGCTGTTTCTCAGAACCCGGGGCTGTAGCTCGGGGCCTGATGGGCGTACGTCTGTTTCTGTATTTCATATCCGACTGAATGTTTGTTTCAGACACACCCATAATTTGAAACAATGATTTGAAAAGTTCACCTTCACTTTCTGTCAAAGAGTGGCCTCTCTAAATGACCAGTGTCTATTTTGGCCGCGGTGGAGGACTGTTGCTGGGGTAAGGACAGTGGGAGGGTCCATCTTTACACAGTCACACAGCTGAAGCACAGGCTGAACACAGCTGCAGCTGTCAGTCACATGGCTCAGTCTGAGCAGGAGGAGGACTGGAAGATCAGGCTGATTCTGCATTTGTCAAAAGAGAAGTGATTAAATGGACACAGACCAGGTGGGAGGTTCAGAGACACACAGATGAATCAATGGGAAGTGAGACGTGGTCTTTCTGCACTTCCCAAATCCACATCACTTTGATTCTGAGTGTTTGTGTGTCCTGCCAGGGCCTGAGCACTGGCTGCTGTGTTCCTGCGGCTCCACAGTCTGGAATGTTGTCTGACGGCAACGTTGTGTGAGACCGAAGTCGACTCTCTCGCACACGTCCACTTTGACACAAAGCAAATGAAGGAGCAATAATCACACACTTACCCTTCAGAGGACAGCCTTCTTAAAACCTCTCAAAATGAGAGTTTATGTGACGTGAACCTTTCTCTGTGTGAGAAAACATGTTACATTACGGCATTATGATAAATAACAACACACTATATTATTTAACTATTTACTGCAATAACTGTTTTTATTCTAACTGTATACGGCCCATTTTGCTCCAGAAAATTACAAACAATTTGCCAAACTCCCACTGTCCTGCAGAGTCGTTGGCAAGTCCAGTGGTATCCCACGGACTCTCAGAATGCAGCAGCAGGATGTCAGAAAGCAGCACAACAGTTTTAAGTTTAGTGTCAAAGAGACAGTTCAGACATCGTCTCTGTACTCACTGTCAACTGTCAGGAGCTTTTTACATTTTAAAATAGAAACAAAACCTTAGTGATAAACAGTTTGTGAGCTGGATATCAAAGGAGAGTCTGTTCTGTACAATTAAATCTGCACATGTGAAAGGCTGGAGTCGACCAGAGAAACACCGTGATGAGATCGATTGGTCGACTGAAAATCAGACGTGGCAAAAGCTTCATGTGCCAAACCCACTCAAACTAAATTTATTTTTTCTCCATAAACTAAATATTAACGGCCGTAGTCACGCCTATCTCCGCCGTTCTAACTAATGTTCCACAACTTCCGCGGTCTTTGGGCAGTTTCAAAATGGCCGCGGGGGCTGTAAGACAAATAGGATGCCAAAGTGATAAATGGACAAATGAACAAACAGCTCTACAAATGGTCTTTTTCAACACAAGAACCAAGTGCTTTCATCATTTGTTGTATAATTCTCCATTGTTGGATAGATATTTAGTGAAAGCAGATGAGAGGGTGGTGTGTGGTGCAGCTGGACGGAGGGGAGAGGGAACTGGGTGTAAGTGGTGGATGAGGAGCCAAGGGTCACACTCTCCCACAAGTTTGAGACAGATCTGTTTTTCCCAGCGAAGGTCACCAGCTGTTGACCCCCCCTCAGCCCCTCCCGCGGCCTTCCCATCATGCTTTGCACACGCTCACTGTAGCCACTGTCTGCCGCTCGGCTTCAGAAGTCCTGCCTGGATTTCAATTGGCTCATCCTTAGCCAATTCAGCCACTGTTTATTCAGGTGGACTGCCGCAGCCTGACCCCTCCCTCAAGACGCCTATAAACTTCTGTGTGTGTGTGTGAGAGTGTGCGCCTGTGTGTGTGTGTGTGTGAGAGTGTGCGCCTGTGTGTGTGTGTGTGTGTGTGTGTGTGTGTGTCTGAGACCATCTCCGGGCGGAAGCTTGTTAGCAAACGGGACTGACCTTGTTTTGGCTTTTGAGACACCTGTTCTTCTTCACATGTCTTATGTCAAATTCTCTCCTGGGAGCTGGATTAGGTTTAGAGCTGAGAGTGGAAATTAATTCAAAGGGGAAGTCTTCAGGAATGTTGTTTTTATCTATAAATATAAAGTCAGTTTTTATCAGCATTCCAAAAGTTAATTACAGAAGATGTACTATGCTTTTTTAAATCTCCATATTGATCTACACTGACTTGATATAAGGGTTTCTGCACATGCTTTTCATACAGTTTGTTCAGTATACATAACATGGACTCACATTACGGCAGCCGGCATTTGGTTCTCGGTCTGTCGTCTCCCAAACTTCCCAAAACTACTCCCAGATTGTGTCTGTGCAACCTGCTGTATTATCCATGCAGCACCAATGAAGTAGCTCTTGTGTTCACGAAATGGATCAATAAAGTGCGTCTAAGTCTTCATCTAACTTCAACTTTGTGGCTGTAAATCAGGATCAAAACCAATCATAACTGCAAAAAGTCCTGTTCATCCAGAAGCTTGTTCCCTGCACATGAATTATGAGTTGCAATAACACTTACTGCACATTCCAGCATGTAAAAAACCCCTAACCGTTTCATTTCGGTCGCGCTGTTATGTAAAACGTCCAAACGGCTGCGATACCAAATGACATTTTCGTCCCTAGTTAGCACCGGAGCATGTGTAAAATGTGTCACCCAGCAGCGGCTTTCATGTGTGCTCCGATGACACGGACCTCCTCAGTCCTCGCAGAAACACACAACCTGGGGCTCTGAGGCGGTGTTAGCATCTGTTAGCATCTGTTAGCATCGCAGAAAGACAGCGGTCAGTCCACTCCTGAAGTACACTCATGGTTTTTGTCTGATTCAGATTCATTTATTGGCCATTTGCAGTAAAACCACATTGGAATACATTTGCAAAAGTCCCCATTGAGAACAAGACAAGTACGTCTGAGCGAATGATATCTTCTGCCAGAGGGAAGAAGCTGGAACATGGCTTTTTCAGGGGCCAGAAGAGTCCTTGATTATTCTAAGAGCTTGGTTTAAAAGTCTGGATTTATAAAGAAAACCTTCTGAACAGGAAGCTCACAGCTCACAGTCCTCTCTCTGATCTCTCTCTCTGGTCTCTCTCTGGTCTCTCTCTGGTCTCTCTCTGGCCTCTCTCTGGTCTCTCTCTGGTCTCTCTCTGGTCTCTCTCTGGTCTCTCTCTGGTCTCTCTCTGGTCTCTCTCTGGCCTCTCTCTGGTCTCTCTCTGGTCTCTCTCTGGTCTCTCGCTGGCCTCTCTCTGGTCTCTCTCTGGTCTCTCTCTGGCCTCTCTCTGGCCTCTCTCTGGTCTCTCTCTGGTCTCTCTCTGGTCTCTCTCTCTGGTCTCTCTCTGGTCTCTCTCTGGTCTCTCTCTGGTCTCTCTCTGGTCTCTCTCTGGTCTCTCTCTGGTCTCTCTCTGGTCTCTCTCTGGTCTCTCTCTGGTCTCTCTCTGGACACCTATCCTCTCCATGAACAGTATTTCATTAGACCCTCTCCTTCGGCTCAGTCTGAATCTAAGGCCGTCTTTCCAGCAGATGTTTTCTTCCTCTGCTCTGGTTTAGAGAGCACAGCCTTTGTTTTGAAGCTTCCGCACCACAGTGTTAGTGTTAGACAAGAACCACTTGGCCTGTGTCCGCTCTGCGCTTCTTGCTTTTACTGCAGTGGAAGTGGTTCAGTGAATTATAAAATGGTTTTCAGATTCAGATTGTGAGTTGTTGTAGATCGGGCAAAGCATTTTATGTGAAGGATTTTGTCTTATTTTGAACATTCTTTGTTTACAGGCACCATAACAAAATCCACAGTATTGATGGGAGGCGAACTGGAGAGATGGCTTCAGTGGAAACTCTGGACCTCAGTAACAACGACATCACTGAACTTCGGGGCCAGTCCTTTCCCGCTGGACTTCAAATCCGAGACCTGTGAGTGTAAAGGCACAACAAGGTTCTGCTTCAGTTTGGGGATTTGTAGATATTTAAGTATAGTTTCACCATGTTTCTCATTAGGCTTCCAACTCGGGATATGAAATGGTCTTCTGCTTCACGATGCCATGTACAGTCTGGTGTGATGTGTTTATTAAAATGACATTAAATGGGACCAATGCTAACATTTGTATAGTTCTCTCTCTCCTCATAATGTCTCCAATCCATGACTCTCCCAGAATCAGCCCATCTTTCCCATACTCTTCATGTACCATTAGATCTTCTTCTACAAATAATTCAAATTGTGCTTTTGTTAGGTTTCTGAGCAACAACAAGATCAAGGACTTGGAGCTGGGGGCTCTGGACCATCTGGGATCCACGCTCCAGGTCCTGAGGCTGAGCCGGAATCGAATCAGTCAGATCCCTGTGAGAGCGTTCCAACTCCCCAAACTCACCCAGCTGTAAGTCCTGGACCGCTACACGGCAACACCGCTACCATGGCAACACCGCTACCACGGCAACACGCTACACGGCAACACGCTACACGGCAACACGCTACACGGCAACACCGCTACCACGGCAACACGCTACACGGCAACACGCTACACGGCAACACCGCTACCACGGCAACACGCTACACGGCAACACGCTACCACGGCAACACCGCTACACTGCAACACCGCTACACTGCAACACGCTACCACGGCAACACCGCTACACTGCAACACCGCTACCACGGCAACACCGCTACACAGCCATGGTGTGTCCGGGGGAGAGAGAGAGATGTTATAGAGAGAGAGAGAGACAGATGTTATAGAAAGAGAGAGACTAGGACAGATGAGAGAGAGAGAGAAAGAGAGACAGACAGATTTTAGACAGAGAGAGAGGGAGGGAGAGAGAGAAACACATGTTATAGAGAGAGAGAGACAGATGTTAGAAAGAGAGAGACAGACAGATGTTATAGAGAGAGAGGGAGAGAGAGAGAGAGACAGATGTTGGAGAGATGTAGAGAGGGAGAGAGAGATAGATGTTATAGAGAGAGACAGGACGTGACATATCCTGGCGGTGCAGTAGAATAAGCGGAGATATAGTAGAAGAAGAAGTGGTTTATACACAGAGATATAGTAGAAGAAGAAGCATCTTTGTGTGCGGTGAACGTTTGTAGCAACCACACAAATAGAGAAAGACCAGAGTTTGTTCATGTTCCAACTGTGTCTCATACAAAGGAGGACACTTTGAAAAAATCACTGGAATGAGGCGGAGGTGGATCAAGGCTTTCCCAGATAAGGCCACCCCAATGAAACGCAGACATTTATTCTGTTTTTCTTTCCGCTGTTGATGCATTTATATTTTATTGTTGAAGACCCATTGCTATAGAAGTAAGATTTTTTTTTTAATTGTTGGAAAAAAGGGAATACATAAATAAAAAAATGTATCTATCTTTTTAGATCCATTTCCATTCACAACTTCCTCGTTTAATTTCCTCCGTCTCGAGGTTAGATCCTGACAACAGACTGTTCATAATCCTCCCTCCTCCAAACTGCATTTTTCACACTGCATTGTCCATAAAGTCAGGTCGGCCCATTTGTAGCTCAACACCCTCATTCTGCCGCACGCTGACCGAGGGTGGCTCCGGGGCCCCTGGCGGCTCCGGGGCCTGACACCGTATCTCCATGAGCCGCACAAAGACACCGACACACATTTGTTTTCCAGTGTCGTCCCGGGGCCTTTTTTCCTCTAACAATTCAAATAATGACGTTGGGGAAAGACGTGTGTGGTTTGGGATTCCAGGACTGTCGATGGAAAACAGGGAACGGCGTCGGTTTGTGATGAGTTAGTCAAGTTAGGCAAATAAGTCAAGAGTTGTGCTGAAACTGTTACAAAGAAAAATATTACCAAAAAAAGATTAAATTACTCAAAACCCTGTGATTCTGCAGCTGTTTATAACTTTTTGAATACAATAAAATAACTTTTTAATGTATTAAAAAGTTTTTTCAAAGTTGACCAAAGTGCCTCATACACAGCCTAAAGTAAACGTGTGGCCAAAAGTGGTACTGCAGCCTCTCCCACTCTCCCTGACTCAGGTTGCCAGATATGCAGACGAATCCAGCTGGGACCATAACAGCTGAATAGACAAGAGTTTTGTCAACAACAAATCTATAACCAACACCTTTTTCACAAAGATAGAAATCCTGGTTTTATTCCTTGTTTTGTTGTTAATGATTTGAGAATCATAACGAGACCTTTTTTAGTTCTGCGCCACATGGTACTTTACCAGTGAGATTAGCTCCACATGGTGAGTTCTGGCGCCCGGATCACAGACTTTCTGATTGGTGAAACGGTGGAGGGCGGGACATCGAATCGAACAAGATTTAGGGGCTGGAAAAGTAATTTAGAAATTCAAATATCTCTGAACTACTGTCATCAGTTAAAGAAGTATTGGAAAAGAGCAGATTATTATTATGACAGATTAGGGCCCTTTAATGATGACAGATTAGGGCCCTTTAATGATGACAGATTAGGGCCCTTTAATGGTGACAGATTAGGGCCCTTTAATTATGACAGATTAGGGCCCTTTAATGATGACAGATTAGGGCCCTTTAATGATGACAGATTAGGGCCCTTTAATGGTGACAGATTAGGGCCCTTTAATTATGACAGATTAGGGCCCTTTAACGATGACAGATTAGGGCCCTTTAATGATGACAAATTAGGGCCCTTTAACGATGACAGATTAGGGCCCTTTAATGATGACAGATTAGGGCCCTTTAATTATGACAGATTAGGGCCCTTTAATGATGACAGATTAGGGCCCTTTAATGATGACAAATTAGGGCCCTTTAACGATGACAGATTAGGGCCCTTTAACGATGACAGATTAGGGCCCTTTAACGATGACAGATTAGGGCCCTTTAATGATGACAGATTAGGGCCCTTTAACGATGACAGATTAGGGCCCTTTGATGATGACAGAGACAGATTAGATCCCTTTAATGATGACAGATTAGGGCCCTTTAATGATGACAGATTAGGGCCCTTTAATGATGACAGATTAGGGCCCTTTAACGATGACTGGACATGAAAACCTCTCACATACTGCCCCTTTAATATGGAGTGTGTCTGGTGTCTTCGCAGGGAGCTGAACAGGAACCGCCTCCGTCAGGTGGAGGGTCTGACGTTTCAGGGTCTGTCGAGTCTGGAGGTCCTGAAGCTCCAGAGGAACAGCATCAGCAAACTCACCGACGGAGCCTTCTACGACCTGGCCAAGATGAAAGTCCTGTAAGAGCCACTTCCTGCTTCTTACCATTCAGTTTCATATCTGTGAGTAATAATTGTTGTTGTTGTTGTTGTTGTTGTGGTTGTGGTCAGGCACCTGGACTACAACAGCCTGACGGAGGTGAACAGCGGCTCTCTCTACGGCCTGACTTCGCTTCAGCAGCTCTTCCTCAGTAACAACGCCATCGCTCGCATCGTTCAGGACGGATGGAAGTTCTGCAACAAACTGCGGGAGCTGTGAGTTTGGAAGTCACAATGTTTTACTGACTCCTTATTTGGTCGTGTTCTTTCACTTCCTGTGCGTTCACCAACTCAGGAGAAAAGGCACAATTTAGAACATTAAAGGTGCAGTTAGCGATGTTGTTAGCTTAGCCGTAGCACCAACTGGAAACCACTAAAGCTAAGCAGGGAAGGGCCTGGTTAGTGCTGTGATGGGAGACCTCTGGGAACAGCAGGTGCCACAGTGGGGCGGCTGCGGCTGTAAAGTGCCAAACTGTGGTTGTGTTCTTAGGCAAGACACTTCCCCCACATCAGAATGAGTCTGGTGTGTGTGTGAATGGTTGGTGGTGGTGGGAGGGGCCGATGGCACAGACTGGTTGCCTCGCGTCTGTCAGTGTGCCCCAGGGCAGCTGTGGCTACAATAGTTTATCACCACTGGGTTTGGAGAGAGAGAATAATGTGAAGAGACTTTGAGCGTCTGAAAAACACTTTGTAAAACCAGTGCATTATTATAATCAAACTTGAACGTGATTATCAGCCGATGATAAATAAACATGTCTTATTTGTGTTATGGCTGTAGTTGGAAGGGCCCCTCTGTGCACATGTGTCAGGAGGACATCACACCAACACAAGGACATAGGAAGGCACTGATATCATGACTCTGGCTCTGGGTTCGGTTACACCGCGTTTAACACTCAATAAGAAATGTTGTTCTCCGGATAAGCCTGTTTATCCCATAATTACGGGTGAGCTCAACCGCATTCAAGCTTTTGACAAGAGTTTTTGTGCTCACTCCTGAGGCGTGGGGTTTTGCAGGGGCTGGTAATCCTCCACTGGTTGTATTGTGGTAATTACACTCAGGGATTGTGGACTGAATGAGGAGTTATTATGTCTCATCTATTGACATGACAGCCGTACAGCCGCTCTTAAGTGCTCTGTGCCGCTGGAGCGTTGCTAACTGCTAGGTAGCCTCAATCTGTGGCGCCAATATTTGTGTTTATGGACCAATAAGAATGCACGCAGAGATATACGGAATTATGACCTTTTCCCTTGATTGAGCCGAGTTTACACAGCCCCATTTCCTGCTCCTGTGTCTGTGAAAGACTGAGCTCCCTCCATCCTCCTCTTCCCCTAAAAGCAGTCGGTGCGTCAGATTTTATTACCCGATAGTTATGATGACCCCAGCGCCTCGGAGAACGGAGTGACACATCTTTATGAGGATCCTGTTATTGCATTCCCAATAACCCGAGCTGGTCATCAACAAGAATCTGTGCACACATGACCGGTCAAGCACACCGCGCTCCCCGCCGCGGAGGACCAAATCAAATGCTGCACAATGCCACCATTCAACATTTTAAGGATATCTTGGTGGAATTTATCAACATTTGTAATCGGAATTATGAAGAGGAATGTCGTAAATTTGCTTTGCAAATCTGTTTATATTTACATTTAATGGTAGTTTTTGGCTTGTTTTTTAACCGCTCTCCTCCTCTCCCGTTTTCTCTCTTTCTCAAACTCTTTTCCCGCTGCCGTCTCTGTTCTCAGGAATTTGTCCTACAATAACTTGACTCGTCTGGAGGAGAGCAGCCTCGCCGTGCTGGGGGAGCTCCACACTCTGCGCTTGGGCCATAACTCCATCAGTCACATCGCAGAAGGAGCCTTCAGGGGCCTCAGGGCCGTGCGGCTCCTGTAAGTACAGACACCTCCAAACATGCTCTATCACTTTACCTCAGCTCTTGGATCAAACTGGCTAAAACATGTGTCTAGATTGAGATAGAGAGTCTGTGGACCTGTGAGTCTGTGGACCTGTGAGTCTGTGGACCTGTGAGTCTGTGGACCTGTGAGTCTGTGGATCTGTGAGTCTGTGGACCTGTGAGTCTGTGGACCTGTGAGTCTGTGGACCTGTGAGTCTGTGGATCTGTGAGTCTGTGGACCTGTGAGTCTGTGGACCTGTGAGTCTGTGGACCTGTGAGTCTGTGGACCTGTGAGTCTGTGGACCTGTGAGTCTGTGGACCTGTGAGTCTGTGGACCTGTGAGTCTGTGGACCTGTGAGTCTGTGGACCTGTGAGTCTGTGGACCTGTGAGTCTGTGGACCTGTGAGGCCTGATGTAATCCTCAGAGGTCTGTGCAGACCGAGTCCGGCCCCTGAAAAGGAGCAGGGAGAGCTTTAATTGGGCAGCAGTGCCGGCATGGGGCTGGAGCCTGCACTGGGGTGTGAAAGGTCCAAACAAGCCAAGCCTGCCCACTAATTCTGCCACAGGGGTCGCTGACCCCCCCCCCCCCCCCCCCCCCAATTCTGTGGCCCCCGCTCTAGAGCCCCCACCACTGGCCTGGCTTTAACAAGGCTGCACCATTCACATTCATCCAGCCAGAAAGACCAGGAAATTGGCAGCTCAAGTCTAGTCCAAGCAAGACGGGCCCACAGAACACTGAGAGGCTCGGGGGGGTTTATGGTGGTGGACCTGGAGGACCCTCAGACTGTTGTTGTTTTAGCGAGCACAAAGCAAAGGGGAGGAGCTATGACTGTGAGAGACTTTTGACCTTGTGAGGGAAGAAAACAAACATTTTCTACAAATGTTTTAATCCTGGAAGTCCGAAGAAAGTCCTCACAATCTCTAAAGAAAAAATAATCTTGGCTCGAGCTCAGCTCCCCCTCGAAGTTCATTGTTGATCTCTGACGTGGCTTCAGTGAGCCTGCCCATCACCGGGATCAGCTGAAGGGTTTATTCACTTTTGTTTTTGCCAAAGCTCTGTTTGGAAACAGCTGTTTCTCCCTGAGACTGTGGCACAGATCCTGAGTCTAGTTCTCTCAGAGGGTAAATCATTATAGGGCTGTTGGTGTGCGGGGCTTAGCTAGTGCCCTTAACCCTCTCCTCCTCCTCCTCCTCCTCCTCCTCCTCCTCCTCCTCCTCTCTCTCCTCATCCATTTGTGCCTTTCTTAGTCCTATCTATTCTCCCTTTCTCTGCAGGGAGTTGGACCATAACGACATCGCAGGCACAATAGAGGACACCAACGGGGCCTTCTCTGGACTGGACAGCCTCAACAAGCTGTGAGTGACTTTATTCAAACTGCTCTGAGTCCAGTTTGAAAGTGTATTTACAACTTCATTATATAAAAGTAACGTTTGTGCAATTACTAAACACACAATCTTTTCAATAAACTGTATTTGGCACACATTAGTTGCAGACTTGAAATCTACTTCTTATTTGCATGAATCACCCATTTTTTCATTTGAACAACACTTGTTTTTTGTATTTAATTAGAATAGTTGGTACATTGTGTAGCTGCCTATGTGTTGGAATAGTTTAATATTCTCTTGCTATAGAGTAGAAAAATGATCATGTGCAGATCTGAGGGGTTTGACTGGGGGGCATAATGAAGGCCAAGATGGTTCTCAGTGTGAAAGCCGAGCGGCTGGAGCGGGAGGCGCAGAAAGGCCTTTTCTTTGGGCTCGCGGGGGAGCTCTCTCCAATGGGCTTATTTCAATTGGTCCCCACTGCCTCGTTCCTTTTATCCTCTCTTTGACCAATGCTTGTTGTTAGGAACACAGGAGGGTGAAATTGGGGGCTGCATTCAGTAATCAACATCAAACAGGTTTCAGGCCCCGCCCTCTGACCTTGGCCCTCTCGGTTCTGGAGCAGTGTAGACGCTGGAGCTGATCTGGCTCTGGCAGTGAGTCATGGGAAAGGTCTTCACAGCGGTTCAGTGTTACCGGGGCGGACATGTTGGGTTTCAGCTCAAGGATTTGGCACCAAATACAACTCCTTTTTTAGTTCATTTGTGTGAGTATGTTTGATCTCCAGTTTCTCCGTTCTGCGTCAACACTTCACCAGTTTATAGACCCGATCCGTGTTTGTAGACAAAGACGGCTGTGCTTTAAGTATGACTTTATTATAGAACCACAGACGGGATAAAACATGGCCTCTGCAGACACCTGCGTTCATGAGGGTCTATGGTCCAATCTTCCTGGTTGATTTGAAGCTAACGCTAACCTTTGATTACAGCCAAGCCTCTGTTGCTTCTGCTGCTCTGAGTTTGCTGAGAGTCCCCTGGTCCTGGTTCAGTATTTGGGGTTAGAAGCACCATAAACACAGCCCCCGGGTGTTTTTGGTCTGACGTTGCTGGTGTAAACCACACAAACTCTTGTTTCTTCACTACTTCACTACGTTCTGATGACGAAGGCTGTAGATGGGTCACAAGTGAAACTCTGAAAAGACCTAGAGATTTTTCGGCACAAAATAATGTCATGGCTTGACGATTTTATCGAGACTTTGTTACAAACCCTGATTCTTTGTTATTCGAGGTCAGAATTGTTTTGACACTATTGAACGTCCACACACTCTTATCACTCTAACAGTTTCTCTCCCTCTCTCTTCCTCTTCCTCTTCATCGCCGCCCGGCACATGACAGGACTCTGTTTGGAAACAAGATCAAGTCGGTGGCCAAGAAAGCCTTCTTAGGTCTGGAAACACTAGAACACCTGTGAGTATTCCACCAAGCTTAGCAGTTCTTCTACTGAGAAACCTGAACAGGCAGAGGAGGCGTGTGGGGGGGCAGCTGGACCTCTCGGGGGGGGGGGGGGGGGGGGGGACCTGGCAGAAGAACCTGCTGCAATTAAATAACATCTTTGTAAACTGAGACGGGAGCTTTACAAACTGCCTTTGCTCTCATTAGCTCAGCAGAGAGCAACAAACTTATTAGAATCAAGATAGTTCTTTATGTTTGTGTGTTTCTTTAAAGCATTCAATATTGTGTCGACAGAAATCTGGGAGAAAATGCGATTCGATCGATTCAGCCCGACTCGTTCAGCAGAATGAGAAGCCTGAAGACCCTGTAAGTACCCCCTGTCATTATTATTATTATTATTATTATTATTATTATTACTACTGATTATTCCTCTCTGTGTCCAGCTCCATCCAGAGTGAGAGTCTGCTCTGTGACTGTCAGCTGCACTGGCTGCCCACCTGGCTCTCCTCCCGGAACCTTCACACCGGAGTCAACGCCACCTGTGCTCATCCCGAGAACCTCAAAGGATCCAGTGTCTTCCAAGTTCCACCGAGAAGCTTCGTCTGCGGTCAGTTCCCTTTCATTTACATTGTGTTGTAAATGCTCCACCCGCCTCGCTCCCCCCGCCTCGCTACACCCGCCTCGCTCCACCCGCCTCGCTCCACCCGCCTCGCTCCACCCGCCTCGCTCCCCCCGCCTCGCTCCCCCCGCCTCGCTCCCCCCGCCTCGCTACACCCGCCTCGCTCCACCCGCCTCGCTCCCCCGCCTCGCTCCACCCGCCTCGCTCCACCCGCCTCGCTCCCCCCCCTCGCTCCCCCCGCCTCGCTCCCCCCGCCTCGCTCCACCCCGCCTCGCTCCACCCGCCTCGCTCCACCCGCCTCGCTCCACCCGCCTCGCTCCCCCCGCCTCGCTCCCCCCGCCTCGCTCCCCCCGCCTCGCTCCCCCCGCCTCGCTCCACCCCCTCGCTCCACCCGCCTCGCTCCACCCGCCTCGCTCCCCCCGCCTCGCTCCCCCCCCTCGCTACACCCCGCCTCGCTCCACCCGCCTCGCTCCCCCCGCCTCGCTCCCCCCCGCCTCGCTCCACCCGCCTCGCTCCACCCGCCTCGCTCCCCCCGCCTCGCTCCCCCCCGCCTCGCTCCCCCCGCCTCGCTCCCCCCCTCGCTACACCCGCCTCGCTCCACCCGCCTCGCTCCACCCGCCTCGCTCCACCCGCCTCGCTCCACCCGCCTCGCTCCCCCCGCCTCGCTCCCCCCGCCTCGCTCCCCCCGCCTCGCTACACCCGCCTCGCTCCACCCGCCTCGCGCCACCCGCCTCGCTCCCCCCGCCTCGCTCCCCCCGCCTCGCTCCCCCCGCCTCGCTCCCCCCGCCTCGCTCCCCCCGCCTCGCTCCCCCCCTCGCTCCACCCGCCTCGCTCCACCCGCCTCGCTCCACCCGCCTCGCTCCACCCGCCTCGCTCCCCCCGCCTCGCTCCCCCCGCCTCGCTCCCCCCCTCGCTCCCCCGCCTCGCTCCACCCGCCTCGCTCCCGCCTCGCTCCACCCGCCTCGCTCCACCCGCCTCGCTCCACCCGCCTCGCTCCCCCCTCGCCCCCGCCTCGCTCCCCCCGCCTCGCTCCCCCCCCTCGCTCCACCCGCCTCGCTACACCCGCCTCGCTCCCCCCGCCTGCCCCCCCCCCGCCTCGCTCCACCCCCCTCGCTCCACCCGCCTCGCTCCCCCCGCCTCGCTCCCCCCGCCTCGCTCCACCCGCCTCGCTACACCCGCCTCGCTCCCCCCCCGCCCCCCGCTCCCCCCCGCCTCGCTCGCCCCCGCCTCGCTCCACCCGCCTCGCTCCACCCGCCTCGCTCCACCCGCCTCGCTCCACCCGCCTCGCTCCCCCCCGCCTCGCTCCCCCCCCTCGCTACACCCGCCTCGCTCCACCCGCCTCGCTCCCCCCGCCTCGCTCCACCCGCCTCGCTCCACCCGCCTCGCTCCACCCGCCTCGCTCCACCCGCCTCGCTCCACCCGCCTCGCTCCACCCGCCTCGCTACACCCGCCTCGCTCCACCCGCCTCGCTACACCCGCCTCGCTCCACCCGCCTCGCTCCACCCGCCTCGCTCCACCCGCCTCGCTCCACCCGCCTCGCTCCACCCGCCTCGCTCCACCCGCCTCGCTCCCCCCGCCTCGCTCCACCCGCCTCGCTCCCCCCGCCTCGCTCCACCCGCCTCGCTCCACCCGCCTCGCTACACCCGCCTCGCTACACCCGCCTCGCTCCACCCGCCTCGCTCCACCCGCCTCGCTACACCCGCCTCGCTACACCCGCCTCGCTCCACCCGCCTCGCTCCCCCCGCCTCGCTACACCCCGCCCGCCTCGCTCCCCCCGCCTCGCTACACCCGCCTCGCTCCCCCCGCCTCGCTCCACCCGCCTCGCTCCGCCCGCCTCGCTCCGCCCGCCTCGCTCCACCCGCCTCACTACACCCGCCTCGCTCCGCCCGCCTCGCTCCACCCCGCTTCGCTCTACCCGCCTCGCTCCACCCGCCTCGCTCCACCCGCCTCGCTCCACCCGCCTTGCTCCACCCGCCTCGCTACACCCGCCTCGCTCCGCCCGCCTCGCTCCACCCGCCTCGCTCTACCCGTCTCGCTCCACCCGCCTCGCTCCGCCCGCCTCGCTCCACCCGCCTCGCTACACCCGCCTCGCTCCGCCCGCCTCGCTCCACCCGCCTCGCTCCACCCGCCTCGCTACACCCGCCTTGCTCCACCCGCCTCGCTACACCCGCCTTGCTCCACCTCACTCCGCCCGCCTCGCTCCACCCGCCTCGCTCCGCCCGCCTCGCTCCGCCCGCCTCGCTCCGCCCGCCTCGCTCCACCCGCCTCGCTACACCCGCCTTGCTCCACCTCGCTACACCCACCTCGCTACACCCGCCTTGCTCCACCTCGCTCCACCCACCTCGCTCCACCCGCCTCGCTCCGCCCGCCTCGCTCCACCCGCCTTCCTCCAACTCTAATGACTCTAATCTCTAAACTCACAGTAAAGAGACTGTTTATGGACACGACAACAGACTGCATATTGTTTTTATTTTATTACTATGTATAAATAATTGGTATTTTATTGTTTTTATTTACTTTTATTGTTTTTATTCTATATCTTAACGTTTTATTTATCTTAAATTGTGTTATACACAGTGTTGGGCACGTTACTTTGAAAAAGTAATTAGTTATAGTTACTAGTTACTTCTCCCAAAAAGTAACTGAGTTACTAACGGAGTTACTCCACTATAAAAGTAACTAGTTACCAGTAAAAGTAACTATTGCGTTACTTTTTCGTTTTGTTCTGGAACATAATGTGCACCCGACGTGCGCATTTTTACCTTTAACAGTGCCAATATTTCCATCTAGAAAAGGCTGTTTTGCTGCTGAAGTCCTGTTCACTCTTCATCTCTGTCTGTGCTGTAAGCACCAACACGCTCCACTGTGAATGTGGAAACACCGGTGAAGCACTGACTTCAGACCAATCAGATGAACATATATATCATATAAATCAAGTGGACAATTTGTTTGGCTACAGCAAAATATGTTTCATGGCCGCATTGTTTGTTCATACAAAACGCAAAACTGTGAGTTATGGGTCTTACCTTATAAATGACCTGCACAAGCCACTTCGGTTCGACCAGTTCCATGTTTAAGTCCAGATAATAGTTTGAGCATAGATATGTAATCCTCCATTTGGAAATGAGTCCAATGAGTTTTAAAAAGTAAAACAAAACGCGTGTGTCCTCCATAAACTCCTGTGTTTTGCGGCAGCCGAGTGCATCCAATTTCTAAAACCAACCGTCTTACACTTCACCTCTCTTTCTTATCATTCCTATAGTAATTGAAAAATTACCCTATGTGCATTTTACATTATGTAAAAATGTGTTATATGTATGTTAGCCAAACCTGTAGCTGTCCTTAGCAGATAAACCAGGAAGAGAAAGGAGCTTATCGATGGAATTGTATGCAGCCGACTTCTGCGCTCACATGCGCTCCTCTGTGGCTGACCTCACGGTGATACAAGCCGTGGATGAGCGCGACTAAGACCCATATTTGTTTCAAAAACACAATTTATGAGCCATCCTCTCAACTGTAGACATGTAGACTGTAAAGGAAATATGTTTTACATCAGCCAATAATTGCTGAGAGGTTTTCTCATCCTCCCTTCTCTCATGACAACACGTTCATTGTGCGTCTTGAGTAACGCGCAGTAACGGGATGTCGGAAATGATAACGGCGTTATAGTTACAGTCAAAGTAATTAGTTAGATTACTCGTTACTGAAAAAAGTAACGGCGTTAGTAACGCCGTTACTAGTAACGCCGTTATTCCCATCACTGGTTATACATTCACATAAACTCTGCAGACTACGTTGAAATGAGTCTCTGTGCAGCACTTTGTCTCCGTGCAGTGGATTTGAATCATTAACGCTATGTTCCGTTCTGTCTCGTAGACGACCTCCCGAAGCCCCAGATCACGGTCCAACCCGAGACCACGGTGACGGTCTTGGGCAGCGACGTGCGCCTCACGTGCACAGCAGCCAGCAGCAGCTCTTCTCCCATGACCTTTTCTTGGCGTAAAGACCAGGAGCTCCTTCGACACGCAGAGACCGAGAACTTTGCCCATGTCCGTGCGGCGGACGCTGTGGCGGGACCGAGCGGCGGCGGCGGCGTGATGGAGTACACCACCATCCTGCACCTCAGGCGTGTCATGTTTTCCCACGAGGGTCGTTACCAATGCATCATCACCAACCATTTTGGATCCACCTACTCCACCAAAGCACGCCTCATTGTCAACAGTAAGTTCAGACCTGGTCTTATCCATCCAAACGTCTGGGTCTGGTCCCTGTGTTTGCAACTACATCGGTTGAATTTTATCCGACCAATCAGAGAGCGCGGGAGGCGGGTGTTGTAGTTAGATGTGGGTGACGTCAAGAGTTTCCGCCGAACGGGAAGGTTGTAGTTTGACGATAAGAATGCGATAGTGAAGTAATCAGGTCTGGTTCTATCAAGAAACTGAAGCCGGAGCAAGAGGAATGTTTAGTAAATGTAATCTCTGACAAAGATTGTGGCGCTACTCCCCACGGGCTCCGTTAGCGGCAAAGGAGATGGCTAAAGCTAGGCTAAATGCTAAAGCTAGGCTAAATGCTAAATGCCTCACTCACTCGGGTTCATTACAAACGTCACAGCAAACTCAGATCGTTTCAATCTGCAAAAGGAGTTAGCCCCTCCCACCTGTTAACGGCAATGGAGCAAATCCAGACCTTAGTACCAAATGTAATGAGTACCATGGTGTGGTGAGACCAGGGTAGCTCAGACCAACTGTAAAATAGAAATGTTTTTGTAAAAACATATTGAAGTTGTAAATATAACATATAAAAAAACTGTTGCTTGATTGGATCGACTTTATTGATCCACAGGGAGATTGTGTTGTCACAGTCGCTCACAGTATTTCTCTATAAAAATAACATTAAAGTAACCATCTGAAAATAAGAATAATAATAAGATGATATTGTGAGAATAGAATAATCTGGATGTAGTTGCTCAGTCATTTACAAATCTGTGAATATGTACATTTGCAGTATAATCTCGATGTGTGAACTATAGAATCAGTGCAGTATAATCTGGATATTTATGTTTCTATATTTGCCGCATGTTCAAAGATCATGTAAACTAACAAATGTGAATATTGTAAATACTTGAAAGTCAAATTTCTTTCTGAATCAATCCATCACTGCCCCATTAACATTTTTGTATATTTCTCCTCAGTCCTTCCGTCGTTCGTGAAAACCCCACGTGACATCACAATCCGGACGGGACACACGGCGCGGCTGGAGTGTGCGGCGCAGGGACATCCCACGCCGCAGATCGCGTGGCAGAAAGACGGCGGCACAGACTTCCCGGCGGCCCGAGAGCGGCGCATGCACGTGATGCCTGATGACGACGTGTTCTTCATCATGTCTGTGAAGCCCGAGGACATGGGCGTGTACAGCTGCACCGCCAAGAACACGGCGGGCACGGTGTCGGCCAACGCCACGCTCACGGTCCTCGGTACGATCAGATATTGTCAACTGTTACTGATTATATCGAGTCGTGTTTGTAGCAGTTTATTTTATTAAATGAACAGTTTCAGACACTTCTGTCAGAGACAGTCAGAGCCACAACATCCTTCAACCAAAATAACTTTGATTTGTCGAACAAGTGGGAGAGTGTTGTGTTGTAGCTCTCAGGGCGGGAATGCAACACAAACACCCCTCTGTGAGCCCCCCCCACACACACTCCCCCACACTCCCCCGCCCCTCCCCCTGTGACTCCCGAACATCACCTCTGACCTCTGACCCGCAGCCAGATCACAGCTGCTGAGAAAAGAAAAATATAAAGCCTCACATTCCGAGGGCAGTGACCACCGCCTCGCTGTGGGAGGGGCTTCGTTGTGGGAGGGGCCTCACTGTGGGAGGGGCCTCGCTATGGGAGGGGTCTGGTCCCTGTGTTTGCGATTACATCGATTGAATTTCATCCGACCAATCAGCAAGTGCGGGAGGCGGGTGTAGTTGTTAGGTGTGGATGACGGTCACTCTGGGAAAGCACAAAAACACCTTTTTAATAAGGTCTAAATGAACATTTAAAAATAGACTGAATAGTTTAAGTCTAATTGAATTGTAATCATTCAGAGTTTTTGAATGTATGGAGTTGTGCGGCTCAGCGTCCTTCTTTGCAGCAGATATTAAAGGAGACCTCAGACCCTCCTCATGTCCTCTACTCTCAGTATGAGCTCCTCCATCAGGCCGTCGCTACAGAACCAGCTAGAAATAAGAACAGATCTGAACCGGTACAAGAACTGGTTCCTACCCGTATGTGTGGATCTCCTGCAGACCATGGAGCAGAGCGCTGATGGTCTGACCATGGAGCAGAGGGCTGATGGTCTGACCATGGAGCAGAGGGCTGATGGTCAGACCATGGAGCAGAGGGCTGATGGTCTGACCATGGAGCAGAGGGCTGATGGTCTGACCATGGAGCAGAGGGCTGATGGTCTGACCATGGAGCAGCGCTGATGGTCTATGTCTGTCTTTTGTGTATTTTTTGTAGTTTCAGGACACATTTCCTTCAGGACATAGTAAACTAATGTTGGATCTTGACTCTTGACTGTTGCAGAGACGCCGCACCTGGCCCAGGAGCTGGAGGACCGCACGGTGGTGGTGGGGGACACGGTGGCGCTGCAGTGTAAGGCCCTGGGCAGCCCCCCGCCCCGCATCACATGGTTGCGTAATGACCAGCCTCTGCGGCCGTCGGAGCGTCACCACTTCACTCCCGGGAATCAGCTGCTGGTGATCAGCACCGTGTCGCTGGAGGACGCCGGGCGCTACACCTGCCTCATGTCCAACAACCTGGGCACAGAGCGCGCTCACAGTCAGCTCCTGGTCACTCAGCGCAGATCGGCCTGCACCCCCCCCTCAGGGCCCGGCACCGTCACCATCGGTATCATTGTGATCGCCGTGGTAACCAGCATCGTCCTGACCTCGCTGGTGTGGGTCTGCATCATCTATCAGACCAGGAAGAATAGAGAGGAGTGCAGCGTGACCAACACAGGTGAGCCACGGACACGGATCTCCCTTATCATAATGTAAACAATATGATTTATCTTAATAATAATAATAATAATGATGATAATAATGATAATAACAATGATAATAATAATAATGATAATAACAATAATAATGATAATAATGACAATGATAATAATAATGATGACGATGATGATGATGATAATAATCATAATAATGATAATAATAATAATAATGATAATGATAATAATAATAATGATAATAACAATAATAATAATAATAATAACAACAATAATAATGATAACAATAATAATAATAATAACAATAATAATAATGATAATAACAGTGATAATAATGATAATAATGATAATAATGATAATAATAATAATAATAATAATAATAATAATGTTTGTTTTGCAGATGAGACCATAGTTCCTCCAGATGTGCCCAGCTACTTGTCGTCTCAGGGCACGCTGTCGGAGCGCCAGGACGTGTGCATCCGAGTGGAGGCAAGAAGTGGTCCTCAGCCGAACGGGCACATCGACAGCACAGGTCAGCCCCGTTCAGCCCCATTCAGCCCAGTTCAGTCCAGTTCAAACTCACTGGGATCGTATATGTGTTTGTGTTTCTGACATGTTGTGTTTTTGAATGAACAGGTTTTGATTGTGCCGTAATGTGTTCTGACTGTATCGAGAACAGCACCAGTTACTCCAAAGACTCGGAGTACCGGAGCCATGAGTTCAGACCCATGGGGGGGTCGGAGTACCATCAGCAGGACACGCCCCCTGCATACTCCCTCTGTGCCCCACTGGAGCAGGACAGAGATCTGCACAAAGCTCTGTGTAACGGCGTTCCCAACGGCATCCCAAAGGACACTCACAACACTTTACCAAAACAACACACTTCCATCCATGATAGAAAAGGTAAGTTTGACTTTCTGCACTTCAGTCTGTGGGATCATGTTCTGCTGTATGTGGTTAAATAACTCTGTGTTTCTTTCTGATCAGTGGACAGAACCACACAGGAAGAAGAATCATTATCACAGGACATTTTCTTCCACAAACCTGTGAAACTGTCTCATCTTCAAGATTCCGACTGTGAGCCGGAGCTCAGACAAACTCTTTTGTCCAATGGACACATCCTCAGAGGCTCCCAGAGCGACAGCGCACCTTTAGGGAGAGCCAGCGACTAGAACCTGAGCCCACTGGACTCACACTGAGAGGACTTTTCTTTGCACTGGGAAATAAACTGCTACCTCATATCGAGGCCAATGGCCCCAAGCTTCCTGGGGAAGGCGAAGGGCATCCGGGTTTGAAGGTGGAGCTTGTGTGGGGGGCGTCCCATCTGAGCGTTTGAACTGTACATAATTAAAACCTTCCTCTGGGAGGTGACCCATCGTTCTATCTCAGAACCATGTTCATGTGGATCTGTGCAGTACTGCGCAGGGACATCTGGCTGTACATAAGAGTTTCTATATATTATGATTTTTACAAGAGTATTTGAATTTAAGTGCATGACAAAGAGAGGAGTGATTGTATCTTTATTTTTGTTCAGAACATTTTCAGCTTCTACCAACCTCCAGCTGCTGTGCCTTACTGTACTGCATGAACAAAGAAAACTCCCAGAGCTCATACTGAACGTCAGAGGAAACCATTTATGGGACTGTGGCGCACTTGAATGTTTCACTGCTACGATGAGCACCGATAATGAAGGAAGAGCAAACGTGTGTGACGCTGTGACTTAGAATAAGGGACAATCAGTAAAAGCACTTTTAAATGACTCAGATTTGATGGATGCAGAAAACTCCAGGGACTCTTGGTTTTAGACGTCGTTCTGAGATAAACGACACGTAACGTTATCTGCACAGACTGTACACACTTTTGCTCTTTCACCCGTTAAAGTTACTGTTCTCTTCATTCAGTCCAGTGTATTTCTGTTTTTTCCAGGACTTGTGCCAATGTTTGTTCAGTCGTTTAAAGCTGAGACAAAGAATGTTGCTGTTCCATCTTGACTCGTGTCTTGGCTTTCAAATTGTGCGCCTTAAAAGCACTTACTGTTATTTGAACTAGTGACTGTTTCCTGTTTAACCTCGTGAACTAAAAACTCTGAGGCCAGTATTTATGCCTTCAGTCTCGCGGTACTTCAACTTAAAGCTCATAGGTTCACTTTGTCAGATGTTTCTAAACCTGTGACCTGGATCAAGGCTTCTCCAGTTACGCCTCATTGTACGCGGTCGTCAGATTGAAACTCCTCTTCTATTCACCAGGTAAAAAGGGACTGCGGGAGCGAGGCGCAGTTCAGGCGTAATTTATTAAACTGTGTAAACCATGAGGTACCGACGGCAACGAAAGGAAAGTCCCACATGGAATCGAAGTGTCTAATAAACATCACTTTTGCTAATAACTTGTGTGAGAGTTCTAGTTATTTGGGGCTTTTTGCATCAGAAGCAGCTCAGTTTCAGCCCTATCCACTTTAATTATATAGCACATTTCATGAACAAGCAGTTTCCAAAGTGCTGTACAACAAAAATATAGAAGCAAAAATAGCGACACATAAATAAATACAGGACCACGCGGTGTTAAAAGCCAGAGAAGAACTGTAGTTTGTGTTTACATTTGCACACGTGACACAACAATATGTAGAAGACATCCACAGAGACGCACAAAGACATGAAATGGTCGGCACTATATTCGGAATTGCGACGGAAGCGGAAGTAAATATAACCAACTACCCAAACTAATAGATTCATGTCTAAACTTAACCAGCCACTCCCAAAGAATAACCCCAATCCACCTTAACCCTAACCTTAACCATCTTACTCAGACCACCTTAACCCTAACCTTAACCATCTTACTCAGACCACCTTAACCCTAACCTTAACCATCTTACTCAGACCACCTTAACACTAACCTTAACCATCTTACTCAGACCACCTTAACCCTAACCTTAACCATCTTACTCAGACCACCTTAACCCTAACCTTAACCATCTTACTCAGACCACCTTAACCCTAACCTTAACCATCTTACTCAGACCACCTTAACCCTAACCTTAACCATCTTACTCAGACCACCTTAACTCTAACCTTAACCATCTTACTCAGACCACCTTAACCCTAACCTTAACCATCTTACGCAGACCACCTTAACCCTAACCTTAACCATCTTACTCAGACCACCTTAACCCTAACCTTAACCATCTTACTCAGACCACCTTAACCCTAACCTTAACCATCTTACTCAGACCACCTTAACCATCTTACGCAGACCACCTTAACCCTAACCTTAACCATCTTACTCAGACCACCTTAACCCTAACCTTAACCATCTTACTCAGAGTTACTAAAACTTAACCAGTCACCACTCAAGGACTCATTAGTCTAAAACTAAAGCAGGATTGTTACTTCCGCTTCCGTCCCGACTCCGTGTATGATCTAGCGCCGACCGACATGAAATCCAGAGACCTTGATCATCAAAGCAGCGTAGCTTGTGCCTGAACAAACTGCTAATCGTCCCAGCAGGAATGTCCTCTGGCTTTCTGATGCTCTGAAAAGACAGCAGGCATGTTTTTCTCCTTCTCTTGGCTGTTTTAAATATTTGCAGTGGAGTCCAGACCGACCGAGGGTTGGGACTGTCCTGAATGTGCATTCCAGATGGGTGTTTGTCAGGGGTGAGTGACGTGCCCCCGGCTGTGGCCTCCACCGATCATCTGCAGACTATTGTGGCTTAGGACGGTCCTGACAAGTAGCATGAAAAACTCCCACCTGTGAGGCCATACGTCTCCTCTGCACAGGCACAACTAGCCTTAACCAACCGCTGGAGACTGCCGCAGGCTATTCCAATGACTTTTTTGTGATAACTTAGTAGGAGTTAGACAAAAGTTTGAAAAAATGCCACAAAAGAGCACATAGACATGTTCTGGTAAAATGCAAACGCACAGTCGAAATGTGAGCTGTGGCACACCAACAAAAACAGTAATATTGAGATTTTAACCGAACAAATCTGTACAATCTGACTTTATGTATTAATAATGGAGCCATTTAAAACTTATGTTCCTCAAATCAAACCATCCTTTCTATTTAGATCTCATTTTTAATGAACTGGTCTCAGACTTAGGGCGACAGTAGCTCAGTTGGTAGAGCATTGGCCTTAGAGCCTGAAGGTCGTGGGTTCGATCCCACCATAAGACCTACTTCATGACTCCCACTGATGTCTGCTGTCGTTGTGTCCTTGGGCAAGACACTTAACCCTACTTTACCTGAAGTCCCCACTGAAAGATCTCAGCTCCTGTGGACTCAGCACCTGCAGGAGGATCAGTGAGGGGCTGGTGCTCTGTGAACTGGGTGCAGCTCTGACTGCCACCCCCCCCCCCCCCTGATCTGATGGTTTCAGATTTCCTACAGGAATTGTTTGGTTGCAAAATTGTGATCCCAACATTATCTTATTTCTTCTCTGTGCAGAGCTTGTTACGACTTAGCGCAGGGGTGTCCAAACTTTATAAGCCACAGGGCCACTTTAGTTTCACAGCCTGCTGGATGAGAGTTGGCGGACACTGCATTAACTAAAGTTCATTTAAAGCCACGAACACAAACCATTAATTACTATACTTTATTGTTAATTTAAATCTTAATCTTAAAAGTGAAGATAAAAAAAAAAAAAGGTGTCAGATCTCACTCTCTACAACAAAATACATTTCAGAGCAGTCAAACAAAATCAAGACTGGATTCAACATGGGCAGAGCTGGAAGTTGGCTGGATGACACTGAATATGTGAGCTCAATGGCTACTTTTAGCAAGGTTAGCAAGACAGAAAAAAAACATACAATGGCACCAAGAGCAACGACTGGGCAGGTCTGAGGGAATTAACCCTATAACCCTTCACATAACACTCATGGCATTTGTGTTTGTATTATTTTAGTTAATTAATCCCCATTAGCTGCTGCTATTCTGCGAGCATTTATACAACACAAAAAACTGGTTCTAAACATAATTCAGAATAAAAAAATACAGATAAGAATACGGCATGTGATAAAACACACGTGGTTTCTTTATTTTTCTTGATTCGCCGCATCGTTCGTTTCACACACAGCCAAAAACACCACGAAACTTAATTTTATAGATTGTCTCTGATTAATGCCTTCAAAGACATCCTGCGATAAACTGGGAGTAAACTAAAGCCCTGAGAAGCGGCAGGAGGCGTCTGAAGACTGAGTGCAGGTGGATGAGCTCAGTCTGCTCCAGTGGGATATGAACCTATATTACAGAACCTGCTCTCTCCCCGGTGACTCCGGCACAGGTGGCTTGGCTTATATGAGTGAGGGGTTAGCCCGGGGGATCAAACACTAAAATACAGATGACACACACAGACAGGAAGCATCCATGGGGGAGCCGTTCAGACCCTCCTCATGGGAACCCCCAAAGACACCGGCAAAGCTCACATGGATCATAAAAATAAAAAGACAGTGTAATATCAGAGAGTAGGTGATGGAGGAGGTGATGGAGGAGGTGATGGAGGAGGAGGTGATAGAGGAGGTGATGGAGGAGGAGGAGGTGATAGAGGAGGTGATGGAGGAGGTGATGGAGGAGGTGATGGAGGAGGAGGTGATAGAGGAGGTGATGGAGGAGGAGGAGGTGATAGAGGAGGTGATGGAGGAGGTGATGGAGGAGGTGATGGAGGAGGAGGTGATAGAGGAGGTGATGGAGGAGGAGGAGGTGATAGAGGAGGTGATGGAGGAGGAGGAGGTGATAGAGGAGGTGATGGAGGAGGAGGAGGTGATAGAGGTGATGGAGGAGGAGGTGATAGAGGAGGTGATGGAGGAGGAGGAGGTGATAGAGGAGGTGATGGAGGAGGAGGAGGTGATAGAGGTGATGGAGGAGGAGGTGATAGAGGTGATGGAGGAGGAGGTGATAGAGGAGGTGATGGAGGAGGAGGTGATAGAGGAGGTGATGGAGGAGGTGATGGAGGAGGAGGTGATAGAGGAGGTGATGGAGGAGGAGGTGATAGAGGAGGTGAAGGAGGAGGTGATGGAGGAGGAGGTGATAGAGGAGGTGATGGAGGAGGAGGTGATGGAGGAGGTGATGGAGGAGGAGGTGATAGAGGAGGTGATGGAGGAGGAGGTGATAGAGGAGGTGATGAGGACAGTGTAATATCAGAGAGTAGAGTTGCTTGGTGGGGGTCTCATGTGGCAGGGGGGGGCCAGAAAAAAACCAGAGCGAGCCGGAATGCAGGACCCCGAGTAACGTGAGTCTGATCGGGATTTAAAACACCGGCGTCTTCCCTTTCTCGTGTTGAAGTTCGGAGCGGCGAGGCGAGGCGATGGAGGAGACGTTTGTGGAGGGCCCCCATACTGTACATCCACCCAGTCAGAGTAAAGACCCCCGCACGTGCTCGTAGGCCCCCAGGAAGATGAAGCCGCCCGTGCTGATGAGGGTCACTCTGGGAACAGCCCCAGCAAACAGCCTGGGAACGACACAGAGGCTGGGTTCAGGTGTGGGGCATTAACCAGGCTTTAATGTGTCAATGGTTCCAGTCTATGCCCTCCTCCCATTCTCCAAAAACATCTGGAGAGAGCTACCTGAGAGCTACCTGAGAGCTACCTCTTCATATGCGCCGAGACATCTACAGCATGTTACTTTCATTACTCCCAGAAAACAAAGAGATTGGGAGAAAGGCCTTCTGCTGCAGAGCCCGAGGACTGGAACTATCTCCTTAAAACCACTTTAGCTACGTATCTTCAGTCGCCATGTCAAGCGTTCTTAAAATAAAAGTAATAACTGTGCTTATCACACGCTCCTCACAGCAGCAGGAGAACGCTCTTCACAGCAGCAGGAGAACCTCCTCACAGCAGCAGGAGAACCTCCTCACAGCAGCAGGAGAACGCTCCTCACAGCAGCAGGAGAACGCTCTTCACAGCAGCAGGAGAACCTCCTCACAGCAGCAGGAGAACCTCCTCACAGCAGCAGGAGAACCTCCTCACAGCAGCAGGAGAACCTCCTCACAGCAGCAGGAGAACCTCCTCACAGCAGCAGGAGAACGCTCTCACAGCAGCAGGAGAACGCTCCTCACAGCAGCAGGGAGAACCTCCTCACAGCAGCAGGAGAACGCTCCTCACAGCAGCAGGAGAACCTCTCACAGCAGCAGGAGAACTCCTCACAGCAGCAGAGAACCTCCCACAGCAGCAGAGAACGCTCCTCACAGCAGCAGGAGAACGCTCTCACAGCAGCAGGAGAACCTCCTCACAGCAGCAGGAGAACCTCTCACAGCAGCAGGAGAACCTCCTCACAGCAGCAGGAGAACCTCCTCACAGCAGCAGGAGAACCTCCTCACAGCAGCAGGAGAACGCTCCTCACAGCAGCAGGAGAACGCTCTTCACAGCAGCAGGAGAACGCTCCTCACAGCAGCAGGAGAACCTCCTCACAGCAGCAGGAGAACCTCCTCACAGCAGCAGGAGAACGCTCCTCACAGCAGCAGGAGACGCCTCACAGCAGCAGGAGAACTCTCACAGCAGCAGGAGAACGCTCCTCACAGCAGCAGAGAACGCTCCTCACAGCAGCAGGAGAACCTCCTCACAGCAGCAGGAGAACGCTCCTCACAGCAGCAGGAGAACGCTCCTCACAGCAGCAGGAGAACGCTCCTCACAGCAGCAGGAGAACGCTCCTCACAGCAGCAGGAGAACGCTCCTCACAGCAGCGAGCAGCAGGAGAACCTCCTCACAGCAGCAGGAGAACCTCCTCACAGCAGCAGGAGAACCTCCTCACAGCAGCAGGAGAACCTCCTCACAGCAGCAGGAGAACGCTCCTCACAGCAGCAGGAGAACGCTCCTCACAGCAGCAGGAAACGCTCCTCACAGCAGCAGGAGAACCTCCTCACAGCAGCAGGAGAACCTCCTCACAGCAGCAGGAGAACCTCCTCACAGCAGCAGGAGAACGCTCCTCACAGCAGCAGGAGAACGCTCCTCACAGCAGCAGGAGAAACCTCCTCACAGCAGCAGGAGAACGCTCCTCACAGCAGCAGGAGAACGCTCCTCACAGCAGCAGGAGAACGCTCCTCACAGCAGCAGGAGAACGCTCCTCACAGCAGCAGGAGAACGCTCCTCACAGCAGCAGGAGAACGCTCCTCACAGCAGCAGGAGAACGCTCTTCACAGCAGCAGGAGAACCTCCTCACAGCAGCAGGAGAACCTCCTCACAGCAGCAGGAGAACCTCCTCACAGCAGCAGGAGAACCTCCTCACAGCAGCAGGAGAACGCTCCTCACAGCAGCAGGAGAACGCTCCTCACAGCAGCAGGAGAACGCTCTTCACAGCAGCAGGAGAACCTCCTCACAGCAGCAGGAGAACCTCCTCACAGCAGCAGGAGAACCTCCTCACAGCAGCAGGAGAACGCTCCTCACAGCAGCAGGAGAACGCTCCTCACAGCAGCAGGAGAACGCTCCTCACAGCAGCAGGAGAACGCTCCTCACAGCAGCAGGAGAACGCTCCTCACAGCAGCAGGAGAACGCTCCTCACAGCAGCAGGAGAACGCTCCTCACAGCAGCAGGAGAACGCTCCTCACAGCTAACTTCTCAAAACAATAATGGCCGCTGCCCTTTGGCAACGCACTCTGCTTGTAATTCAGATGTGTAGATTACTCCGACAGTAGTTCGGCCACTTTGTTGCTACTCCTGTCTCTGCAGAGAAGCTATCGGAGCTAGCCACGCTCAATAACACGTATAACAATCAATAACATAATAAATAAATATCATTTAAATGTTAATGGAGAATACATTATACATATACATTCTTAACACACAGAGGTTTTCAGAATTATCTGTTAAGGTTTTCATGACAAACATACTGTTTTAATGAGAGAAAAGTAGTAGTAAGTAATCTTTATTTATATACCGCCTTTTCACTGCACATCGGAGTCTCAAAGCGGTTTGTTAATTGTTATTTTTGGGAGTGGGGCCAGTACAGGAGGCACATGCCAGAAATATTGTACATATTTTTAGTGGTAGGGGAAACCGGAGCACCCTACCCTATCAGAAAAAGAGATTCTGATAAACCCGGAAGTAGATTCCGGGACATTTTAGGAACATTTGCAGAGGATTGAATTATAGATTTAGGTTAAGTTTATGTTTGGATCACTCACCGCTGATGTTCAGGATTCTGTGTTCAGTTTTCATGCAGTTCCAGAGAGTTCTAGTTTGGAAGTTATATTAGCCTAACTGTTGCTAGCCTAACTGTTACTAGCCTAACTGTTACTAGCCTAACTGTTACTAGCCTAACTGTTACTAGCCTAACTGTTACTAGCCTAACTGTTACTAGCCTAACTGTTACTAGCCTAACTGTTACTAGCCTAACTGTTACTAGCCTAACTGTCACTAGCCTAACTGTTGCTAGCCTAACTGTTACTAGCCTAACGTTACTAGCCTAACTGTTACTAGCCTAACTGTTACTAGCCTAACTGTCACTAGCCTAACTGTCACTAGTCTAACTGTTACTAGCCTAGCTGTTACTAGCCTAACGGTTACTAGCCTAACTGTTACTAGCCTAACTGTCACTAGCCTAACTGTTACTAGCCTAACTGTTACTAGCCTAACTGTTGCTAGCCTAACTGTTACTAGTCTAACTGTTACTAGCCTAACTGTTGCTAGCCTAACTGTTGCTAGCCTAACTGTTACTAGCCTAACTGTTACTAGTCTAACTGTTACTAGCATAGCCACGGGAAAACCTTTGGGAACTATTTTATTTTCATTAAATAAACCTTTTGGCATTCGTAAAAGTGACTGAAGTTTATTTTGTGTGTTCTGTTGCTACAAAGCCGTATGATAAGCGGGAAAATGTAAAGTACACAGGTCTTTATTGGGAAAAGAGCGTCGGGGTCCGCTTCGCCCTGTCGGTACTTATTTCCCAATAAAGACCTGCGTACCATACATTATCTCTTACATATTGTCTGTCTTTGTGATCATGTCATTTTTGTTGTATAACCTTTGGCAGAGCAAACGGATGAGGACCCCCTCGAAAAAGAGCAGATTAATCTCAAGAGTAATCCATAATAATAAATAATTAAATCAGATACAGTGAGTGTGAAAGTTTGGACACCCCAGAGCAAACTTCTCTCAATGTGAAATGTGAATCTAAAAAGGAGAAAGGCCTCAACAACGGTTATGATTCGCTCAGGACATGTTTTTGACTCAAATATCAGCAGAGTGTGTAATGTGATCCTCCCGTCTGTGTTCCCGTGGCCGTAACAAAAGCAGATCACGTGTTGTATGAAAAGTGATATATTTGCGACACATTCACCTTTGTTTGTTTATTTATTTATACTTTAAATTAGGCTAAGCTAAGCTAATAAGGCTATAAATGGGTAACTACGGACCCCACATCAGGAGGGGTCAGCGAGGAGCAGGAGAACATGTGGAAGACCAGTTATCTATCGCTACATTTATTATTCCATGCCTGGGAACAATGATACCGACTGATTGTTAAGTAAATCTTTATAACTGAATGTAGTAAAATGTTAAGGTCAGACATTGTTTTTAGACACGATGCTAGAGCCATTTCTGACCCACAGACACAGTCAACACAACTGAGATAAATGTGCAAATTGACTTTTAGAAACAGTCAACAGCAAAATGGTACAGGCTTAGAATGTTCTTTTAGTAAGACTTAGAGTGTGAAGAAGCTCATCTCGTGTGTTTTGGCGACAGACTTCCACCTTCGTCAGAGGTCGTCGAAAAATGTCCTGTAATTAATATTGAATGCCAGCCTATTTCAGAACAGGTACTCCCACAGTGCCAGCCATTTATGATGATTTTTACTGATTTTTCAAGACCCACAGAATATTGTGTACTATGACTATCTGAAATCCGACACCAGATTCTAAAAGACTGGACTGTCTACTTTCCTCAGCAAAAAGAATTTTGTTTATAGCTTTTTTCGTTCCCCTGTAATCCTCCGTCGAGTAGAGGGAAGTTTTACTGAAATCACCAGAAAGTTGAGAAAAAAGAGGCACAACATGTGCACCTACATGTTTTCAAACCATTCAGAGAGCAATGCTGCCACCTGCTGGCTCGATAAAATATGGTCTCAAGTCATCCCCATACATATTAGATACAATAGACATCTGGGAACGTGAAAATAGCAAAAAAGGCATTTGACGTATTAATGCGTCAATGGGACACAATGAGTTAAGTATAATTGTCTTCTTTACAGATTTATATTCATTTATTTGCCAATTGCAGTAAAACCACATTGGAATAAATTTGCAAAAGTCCCTAGTGTAAGATAAGATAAATAATACATAATACATGTTAATGACTCTTCTGGCCACCCTGGGAAAGCCATGTTCCAGCTTCTTCCCTCTGGCAGAAGATATCACTCTCTGAGATGCAGGACATCTCGTTACGCTAACAGTTTTTATCCACAGGCTGTTATCAGTGTGAACAGAGCACTTTAATGATTTGCACTTGTTTTGAAACTGTTTTAGTCGATCGATTTCACAGTGACATTTGTTTACTGTTTTATTTGTTTTATTTCTGTCTTTTAATGTTGTTTTATGTCTGTATTTGTCTGTGCACACTGGAGACTTTTGCTAATGTATTCCAATGTGGTTTTACTGCAAATGGCAAATAAATAAACTGAACTGGACTGAACATAATTCACTTTTTCCATGTTTTTACCTTAATGACACTATGTAATAAAGTTTCTACTAAAATTCTACTGATGCATTTGTCGCGGCGAAAGTAGACAGAGAGTGATTCGCTGTGATTTGTGGAGGAGCAGAGAGAGGGTCACACGTCCAGCGCTTTTGAGGGGGTCAGAGAAATGTGCTGGACCATCCTCACCGCTCCAACAGCACACAGCTGCTTTTGGAATTAGCAACACCCCCGACCTCCCCCCAAACCCCCCTGGAGCTCCGGCCCCCCTGGAGCTCTCTGTGCATGACTGATGAGCAGATGACATCCACACATGTCCCTGCAGCGGCCTGGTCCTGGCCCTGGCCCTGGTCCTGGTCCTGGCCCTGGTCCTGGCCCTGGCCCTGGTCCTGGCCCTAGCTCCAGCTCGGCCTCCACACATGTTCCTGCAGCGGCCTGGCCCTGGTCCTGGTCCTGGCCCTGGTCCTGGTCCTGGCCCTGGTCCTTGCCCTAGTCCTGACCCTGGTCCTGGTCCTGGCCCTGGCTCCAGCTCGGCCTCCACACATGTCCCTACAGCGGCCTGGTCCTGGCCCTAGTCCTGGCCCTGGTCCTGGTCCTGGCCCTGGCTGCAGCTCGGCCTCCACACATGTCCCTACAGCGGCCCAGCCCTGGCCCTGGTCCTGGCCCTGGTCCTGGCCCTGGTCCTGGCCCTAGCTCCAGCTCGGCCTCCACACATGTTCCTGCAGCGGCCTGGCCCTGGTCCTGGTCCTGGCCCTGGTCCTGGTCCTGGCCCTGGTCCTTGCCCTAGTCCTGACCCTGGTCCTGGTCCTGGCCCTGGCTCCAGCTCGGCCTCCACACATGTCCCTACAGCGGCCTGGTCCTGGCCCTGGTCCTGGTCCTGGCCCTGGTCCTGGTCCTGGCCCTAGTCCTGGCCCTGGTCCTGGCCCTGGTCCTGGTCCTGGCCCTGGCTCCAGCTCGGCCTCCACACATGTCCCTACAGCGGCCTGGTCCTGGCCCTAGTCCTGGCCCTGGTCCTGGTCCTGGCCCTGGCTGCAGCTCGGCCTCCACACATGTCTCTACAGCGGCCCAGCCCTGGCCCTGGTCCTGGCCCTGGTCCTGGTCCTGGCCCTGGTCCTGGCCCTGGTCCTGGCCCTGGCCCTAGCTCCAGCTCGGCCTCCACACATGTTCCTGCAGCGGCCTGGCCCTGGTCCTGGTCCTGGCCCTGGTCCTGGTCCTGGCCCTGGTCCTTGCCCTAGTCCTGACCCTGGTCCTGGTCCTGGCCCTGGCTCCAGCTCGGCCTCCACACATGTCCCTACAGCGGCCTGGTCCTGGCCCTGGTCCTGGTCCTGGCCCTAGTCCTGGCCCTAGTCCTGGCCCTAGTCCTGGCCCTGGTCCTGGTCCTGGCCCTGGCTCCAGCTCGGCCTCCACACATGTCCCTACAGCGGCCTGGTCCTGGCCCTGGTCCTGGTCCTGGCCCTGGTCCTGGTCCTGGCCCTGGCTCCAGCTCGGCCTCCACACATGTCCCTACAGCGGCCTGGTCCTGGCCCTAGTCCTGGCCCTGGTCCTGGTCCTGGCCCTAGTCCTGGCCCTAGTCCTGGCCCTGGTCCTGGTCCTGGCCCTGGCTCCAGCTCGGCCTCCACACATGTCCCTACAGCGGCCTGGTCCTGGCCCTGGTCCTGGTCCTGGCCCTGGTCCTGGTCCTGGCCCTGGCTCCAGCTCGGCCTCCACACATGTCCCTACAGCGGCCTGGTCCTGGCCCTAGTCCTGGCCCTGGTCCTGGTCCTGGCCCTGGCTGCAGCTCGGCCTCCACACATGTCCCTACAGCGGCCCAGCCCTGGCCCTGGTCCTGGCCCTGGTCCTGGCCCTGGTCCTGGCCCTGGCCCTGGTCCTGGCCCTGGTCCTGGCCCTGGTCCTGACCCTGGCCCTGGTCCTGGCCCTGGTCCTGGCCCTGGTCCTGG